GAAAGAGTTGGCATGTGGTTTGGGGAAGAAGGTCGGAAGATATATTATCTGGTTGATATGGAAGGATGAAAGTACTTTGGGGAGGAATTTGGGATGGGTATGTAAAATGACCTTGTCTTTAAAAAAGGTAGTGTACGGGGGATCCGCCATTAGCGCTGTGATCTCTCCTAGCTATCTGGCTGAGGTAATGGCTACCGTTTTCATGACCAAGTGCAGTAATGAGGCAGTCACCATTGGTTTGAAGGAAGGCCTAGTTAGAGCATTCAATACTAAATGCAGGTCCCACGGTTGCATTGGTGGATTGATATCTGGATAAAGTTCTTGCAGGCCCTTTAAGAAGCTCTTGGTGAGTGGATGAGCAAATATGGGCTAGTGGTCTATCTTGGAGTGAAATGTAGTGATGGCCGCAAGAATATTAATGGAGCTTATTGCGAGGCTCACTTGTTTAAGGTGCAGAAGATAGTAACGAGGATGGTAGGTAAAGGGGATGTTGAAGGAAACAACTGGTGATGAGCACACCATGTCAAGAAACTTTTCTGTTTCTGAAGGTAAGGCTTGCGGTGCTCTATGCCCTACTGTGTAGAAGGACCGCTAGTACTTGCTGTGAGCAACTCTAGGTCAACTCTAGGTCAGAGAACCATCCAGGAGCCACGCCTTCAGGGACCACTCTCACGAGAGCCTCCTTCAACCCCTTGACATTTCTCCCATTCCACAGTGGTACACATACAACACTTTGGGAACCCTTGATCTAAGGTGTACTACAAGGGACATTGACTGAGACTTTGTTCTCAAAGATTTTAACCACTTTCTGATTCACAAAGTTATATCTAATTTCTGTTTCAAAAGGGATCCTTTTCCCCCTATTTTTATATAGAGTCATATTCATCTGAGCCTGCCTTCAGTTATATGAATTTAAACCACAACAAACTTTGTTCCTGGTTGTCTTTTTATTTTTATATACATTATACATTTTTATATATTTTTGTTTTACAAAGGTGATGTAATTTCCTGAATCAGAAATAAAATGTTGAGAGCGAGAACCAGAAAAAAAGTGTCCATCTACAGAGAATGTTTTCTATCTAGTTTATGCTGACTTCTCTTATTTTTAAAAAATAAGTTTATAAAATTCAAGCTAACTTAAAATATTATATTGCTATTGTGCTTCAAAACAATAGTGATAATGATGAGACTAGTAACAGAATTCAAACTAGATTCAAAGGTTTTTTTCAAGGAGGAGGGAGAACAATTATTCTCTCTTACCTCTAATAATAGGACAAAAAGCAACAGGTTTAAATTGTACCAAGGGAGGTATAGTTTGGACATTAGGAAACCTTTCCAAATTGTCAGGGTAGTTAAGCAGTAGAATAAATTGCCTAGGAAGACTGGAGATTTTTAAGAGCAGGTTGGTCAAACATTTGTTAGGGATGGCCAAGATGGTTCTTGGTCTTGCCATGAATGTAGGAGACTGAACGTGGTGACCTCATGATATCCCTTCCAGTTCCATGATCGCAGTTTATTCTATGCCACAGAAATGTAAAGAGAGAGGAATTTTCAGTAGACATGCATGTTCTATTGTTTAAGACTCTGTTTTGAAATACAGAAGTGCCTGTAACAGTGATCCTATAAAATGATCCTTTCAGTCTTACAGCACCAGAAGCCTATTGTCATTTTGGCATACTCTTTCACAATAAATCTCCAGCACTAGCTGGCAAATTATCAAAAACAATCTTATAAATTCAAAAAACTCACTAGATTATTCTTTTACTATGATGTGAAGTTTTTTCCATTACTAACAAATTAAGTATTGAAAGCAAAACAATTTGAGTGAGTACATTGTCCACATAGTTAAGATGTACTTAACTACACATTTCTTTCAACTCTCCCCCTCCCCCCCCAAAAAAACAGTAAAATGGATATTGAGTTGTAGTGTTTTGTTTTGTTTTTTTTCCTTGGTTCAAATGAGAAAAATGATCATTTAAAAGGTAAATTAAAGAACAAACAATATCCATTTTCCACTGCAGTAACAAAGAAAGTGTGAATCTAATGTAAAAGCGTATTAAAAAACTGTGCCCAAAACAAAGAAGAAGATCCTAGTTTAAAGTGTTAAAACCAAAAGATTGACTATGCTTAAGTATAAAAGAGACTGACATTTATGGTTTTACGTAGGTCAAATATTTTGTCAAATTCTGCCCATCGAAAACGTTGATCCATATTTACACTGGTGTAAATGTGAACAGAATTTAGCCCTGTATCTATGCAAAGATCTCAGATACCCTTAATTCTGAGTACTGAGATATAGCTCTTCTACGTGTTTCTTTTCATCACGTGGCTCTTTCTCATTATGATTTGTTTTATGTCAAAACTGTCTCAAAGATTTTTGTACAGTACATAGTATTTGTGATAGACATGCTCTAGCGGGGCGGGAGGGGAATCTATATATCTGACGAGTTTGTGGATTTATTTGTGCAAACTAAAGTCATACTTCAGGATTACCAACAAATACCAAGTTTTGTATAAATAAGCCTGCCACTTAAATTAGCTGAATGCACTACTTTTTACATCGGAATATGTTGGATGTAAGGTTTAAATAATTTTTGTTTTTCATCAGAAAAAAGTCATGACTATTATGATTAGTGTTAATAAAAATATTTGCTAACAAAATTAAAATCATGTTGCCCATTCAACTGTCATTTTAGTGCAAAGAAAAATTTTACTGTTAATGTCTAGGAGCTGTACCTATTGCTCAGAACATATTGGGACTAGCCCAGTAGTTTTCAGAGTGGGTCATGACCCAGCCTTAGCCAGGCAGCACTGCTGGTGGGACTTACAATAGCCCGGTTGGCTATGCTGACCAGAGCCACCAGGGTCCCTGGGAGGCCAAGCAATGTGACCAGTGTCTTACATTCCATGTCCAGTACTTGATCATGACCCACAATTTGTAAACCACTGGTTTAGATAAAATGGGAGTTACATCTGAACCAAACTTGTGCAAAATAAAACCTAGATACCTATTTGAATGTTTGCAAAAACAAAATTACTTGCTTTTTGTCCTTCTCTTGTGAATGGGTGATAACTCAACAACTAAGAAATAGGTCAAATGGCTGAAAGAAATCTAATTTTCCCCAAATTCAGTATTAATTATTTATATTACAGTTGTGTCCAGAAACCCCAGTCAGTACTCTATTATACAGTATAGTATGCAAATATAAAAATTGAGGATAATATACTATTACATTATTTTGTTTTCTTTTATTTCCCATAGATGACTTATAAACTGTAGACTGGTCTTTAATTTTGTTTGGAGTGTAAGCTCCTGGGAAGAAGTGATGTCTTCATATGAATCTGTTCTGTACTATACATGAAAGTGACTGGGATTTTGATACATGGTATTCTGCTTACAATCAAATGAGTAAGATATTATTTTTGGCTTTGTTTATGGAAAAAAGTCATTTTTGTGAAATTGTGGTCAAAGTCTGCGTAGCAAAAAGATGGATAGTTTCTTGGAATTGTAACTTTGATCCTAGAATAAAATAGAGGGAATACCTCTGCAGTCTTAAGACAGCTTGTGAAGCTGGTGACAGGGTTTAAAAAAACAGGCTGCCATATGCTGTGTCTCGTAAAACTGAGTACAGGTTGTACCTCCAAAAACCTGCTTTCTGTTGTCCTGGACAAGAAAGCCGGGAGCCTAAGGGCAGGAGGGATAGCCAGGGCCGGGGCAATAGGGTCAGCAGCCTAACTAGCGACAGCACAAGACGGGAGCCAGAACCCCATAGCAGCCCGAGGCAATGCAGGGCTCTGCCAGTGTCCTCCAGCAGCACGGGTTGGCAGAGGGCTGGTGCCCCATGGTAGTTCCGGGTGGTTCAGAGCTGTGGATGGAGCCCCGTGACATCACGGGACCAGAGTCCCCTAGCAGCTTCTTGGCCCCAGATGTGCAAGGCTAGAGCCCCGCAACAAGAGCCCAGAGCCTCAGGAAGCCAGAAGCAGTTGGGCAAGCAGCACAGCCAGGTTGGGGGTGGGAGAGGGTGAGGCAGGATGCCTGCTCGGGCAGCCTGCCAGCAGCAGGCAATAGGCTTGGGAGCTGGTGACAGGAGGCCTTCCCATGGTCCAGAAAATTCTCTCGTTCAGGACCAGTCCCGACGGTGCCAGGCCGGATAGGTTCAACCTGTAGGAATAACTGCTATGCTCATGCTAGTAAGAATGAAATTAAAACCTCAGTTCTTCCACTTAGTTTAGCCACAGTGACCATCTGAAGAAGTAGGTGGTGCCCACGAAAGCTCATGATACCATCTACATGTTTTGTTAGTCTATAAAGTGCTACCAGGGTTTTTTTAAGTGTATCCTGTACAGACTAACTCAGCTACCCCTGAAGCCTCTCAAACAGGTCAGCATTCAAGTCCATATATTTATTAAAAACAAACCTAACAATGTTAAGCTTATTCTTGCCAGCAGGATGGAAAGAGAGATGTTTACAGTTATTTCTTGTGGAAAGCACTCAGATACTGTGGTGACGGGCAACTTAATAAATACCAGGACAGATGGAATATGTAACATCTGCAGAGTGCTTAACAGCATTACAATGTCGACAAATGTTACATTAATTTTTGCACTTTGGCAACTAGAGAACTCTTTGTGGACAGTGAATATGGTATCAAAATGCTTTCTAAATGGCTTTCCCCTAAGGTAGCCATTCAAAAAAATGCTAGAAACAAAATCTGCTATGCCTTAGTCCAGCTTTTGGCAGCTGTTTTTTTCTTCTTTGACTTTCATCTTGAGACTTCTTCAAAAAATAGCACATCCCAACAAGAGAATAGAAATAATTTCTGTGTCCTCATTCCATGCAATACAAATGAGAAAGATAATGGATGTTGCTTTCTCAGTTACACAGTTCAAATGTATGCATAGACATGGGGTTGACTTAGGATGAGCAAGGGAAGACCACAGGGGTTCTGGTACAATTTATTTGCCTATTTGTTCTTTCCTTTAAGAGATTGTTGTTTCAATAGTAATTCATCTGGATTCTATAAACAGTTTAAAGCAATGCAATACAGAATCTATTGACCAGCATCTAAAAAAATGCTTTTAAAAGTGGAAACAGCAGGTCATTACATAGAAAAGAAATGTGTGTCTGATACCCATAGAAAAGGGTTCTTAGTAAGACAGATCAGGAAGAGCACCATACTCTTTTAATAATAGAACCCTTATTGCCAAACTTTGGCCTTACATGTTTCCAGTTACTTACATGGGAATCCCATGCATGTACCTGTAGCTAGAATTTGGATCTCCTGTACATTCCATAAAAAAATTATGTATCTTTTTCTATTTCATATCCCATTCACAGAATGGAGTCCGTTAGCTAGCTGTTACTCCATTTTCAGCAATTCTGTTAATGACTTCAAGATAATGACCTTTAGCTCTGTCTTTCAGGAAGTGTTGACCGGATTGTTGAGGATGGGGGATCTTGTCTTAAAACTGATTTATGATACAAGGTTAAAATTATTTTGGGGGAGGGTCTTGCCTTACATCAGTCACGAGACTTACAAACAGGTCTGTAAAGTAGCTGTGACATCTTCATTATGATCAAATGGATAAACTTAATTGGTACATAATAAACAGTGGCTGAAGGTATATAGAGGCTTTAAAATTGCCTTACGCTGTTAATCAGTAAGAATCTAGGAAAATAACATGTTCATAGTAAATCCTTTCAATGTACAACAGAAATGGAAATGTTAATATGAAATATGTTAATACTTTTGTTTTCTCCCTTGTCTTTTTACTTTCCCAATCACAAACAAGAAAAAAATGTGTGATTTAAAAAAAAAAAAAAACTTAGCTTTCACAGTGGGTGTTTAGTGAGTGGCAATAGGAGAAACAACGCTAAACTGCAATTACTTACTGAAAATCACAAGTTGCTAGAAATACTGAGGGGGGAAGAAGCGTGAAAATAAGAACTTCCCATGTGCCTTGTTACTTTCTTATGAACAATAAGCATGCATAATAGATGTGCATGTAGATGTGATCTGATTCTGCTTCCACTGAAATCACTGCCAAAACTCCAATGGAAGCAGGATCAAGACCTGAATTGGTGTGATAATTACACATCTTGAATGGGGGTCAAGGTGCAATGTCAAAGGCTATATTCCTCCAGCATCTGGAGTTACTTAATGTTCCTTGTCACAAAGCACTAACATAGGCATGCATGTTCTGTAATTACAGCACTTCCCAACCAATGAAATTTTCCCTCGGAACATGCTAGTTTATAACTTTATTAGACGCACAGAGATTAATATATGTATTTATTTAGATGTATATAGCAGCTTGTGTCTTGTCTAATAGTTTGTGACAAATCCTTAAAAATACAATTAATATAAAATTACAAGTCCACCAGAATGCACTCAATGTAACCAAAAGCAAAGATTTATTTTTAACTGGTTTAAAGATATCATGTTCCACTCTGTCCACAGAATAATAATTCACAACCCTGTCCTTACCATTTCCTCGAAGTGAGAACAACGTACATTAAGTGTAGTCTCTAGGTATACTGTAACTTTGAAGAGTTATAAATATACCTATATATAGTGTACCAGCGAGAGTCAAGTCATTTTTCTGGAATCCTATTAAGTTAAAAGAAAATAATATACCAATAATTTACTAGTATTCTCTTAGAACAAATTATATTTTAACTTACATTTCAATAAAATAGAACAATGACTAGAAAAATAGAAGGGTTCAAATGGAAAAATAGGTTTATCAACAGGATTTTTATTAATTCTGGCATTATGTAAAGGAACAGCAAGTAGAAGTCCATGCAGGCAGAAGAAGGGCACTGTGACCCTATTAAGATGGAAAGTGGTGGAAAAGTTTTCAAGGAAGCTACATATATGGCAGATGATAAAATGCTACCGATGGCCACATGGGGCGTACAGCCTGCAATGTTATCTGCAGCCTTCTTCTGTTTTGCATGTTTCACTCTTCTCTTTGCGCAATCTGCACTTTTCTGTGCATACATAGCAGCTGTGATCTTGATGGCACAGAGCTCCAAACCTCAGAGCAACAGCTTATTCCTTTTTTGACCCTGCAGTCTGACACACAAAAGCTGGAAAGATAGGGTCAATATTTATTCTGATGTTTCTCCTGTTTCAAGTCACAAGCATGCTTTGTCTATTCAAAATATTTAGACTGTACCCCAAAAATACTTCAATATAATTTGGACATTAGAACGAAGAGACCATTGAGCCATATTCATTGTTACACATGCAGTTTGTAAAGATTCATGTATCTTATTTCCTAGACAATAGAATAGAATGATTCCTCTATATACCTGGTGGATACCCCACCCCTCATGCTGTTTTGCTTCCTCATGATGATGATTAGATGATTTTAAAATACAGCAGTGTGCTGTTGAAGTTTAGATTAAAATTAAGTTTTTAGTTATTGAGAACATATTCAAATACAACATTTTAAAAGTGCTCTCAAAGCTATTAACTCTCCATACACTGCCATTGTCTACTTATATGTCCTTTTCACAGAGAACAATAATTCCCCAAAAGAGTTAATTTAATACAGTAAATGAATAGAACATGTTGGTGGATTTATTGTATCCACTTTTGCTAGCATATTGTAATTATGTCAGCATATAGCCACTGCAGTAAGTTAGGTCAATGTAATTTTGCAGTGTAGACATACACTTAAGTAACCTTTTTCCTTGCACAAGGGATAGTAGGGAGGATTTGTGCCTCTCTCTGTTTCTTCACACATCTTCTCCTTGTCCAACCAGCCACATGCTCCTTCTTTCTATAGGTTGAGCCTAGTCTCAGTCTAGCCCTAAGTCAGGAAAAACAATAGTGAGAGTTCAAAGAGAAATGCTGTTGTAGCGTTTTCTGTATATTTCATAATACTGTAGATCTTTAAAATATAAACAGAGAAAATAGCAAAGTTAGCCAGAATATGCAGGATATTGCATCTGTATTTCCTTATTAGCCTGTGTAAGCGAACTGGCTCAGTCCTGGGGATCAGGCCTATACTCGGGCCAGCACCCACCCCATTCCCAGTCTGTGTAAGCCCAGTCCCTGGGGCCAGGCAAGTAAACAAACACCCCGTGGTCCCCCTTTAAGCCCAAGCCCGCAGGGCAGGGCAGGCAAACTCAGTCTGTGGGCTAGGCCCAACCAAGCCTTGGGGAAAAGTAGGGCCGATACACAAACGCAGGTATTAGCAGTTGTAAGCCCTAATCCTGGCATTGGATGGGGCAGATAAACAAACCCAGTCATGAGTCTCTTGGTGAGCCCAGTCCTTAGCCCAACCAGATGGTCAGGAGTCTCAAGGTGAGCCCAGGCCCTAGCGCAGGACAGACAAAGAAATACAGTTCGTAGTGACGGGGGGGGAAGACTGCCATCTAGTGGCCGGGGGGATGCAGGCCCTCCCTACTCCACTGCGTACTGGCCCAGGACCCTGGCCAAGGCACAGCTGACTGCCAGGGTCAGTGGGAATCTGGTCTGCAACATGCTGAGTCACTGCAGCACAATTAAGTCAGCCTCACTCTCTTTAGCTGCCCCAGGCCATCTACACCCCCATAGGGTATAATCTAGCTCCCCAGCAGGTCCTTGGGGTTGTCAGATCTGAACCTTCAGGGAAATTCAGCAAGGTTTCCTTGTTGGTTTGGGGGCCTGGCAGTCCAAGCCAGTCTTCAGCGTCTGTCAAGTCGTCAGGGACCTCATAGCCTGGGAGCATAGGGCAGACTTCTGCTTCCTTTAGCAGCTGGAACTTCACTTAGCTTCTGGCCTGAGCTTCTATATAAGTAGTCCCACTGCCAGCTTCCTGTCAGATAAAGGGGGGGGAGGGATTAGGCTTGGCCCACCAGGACTCAGAGTGGGGTTCTTCCTCCCTCCACCTTGGTCTTTGAGCAGCCACCCCTGTTCGCTATACCCCTAGTACAGAAGAACTCTAATATATGTCCAGATTCTTTCACTGTTAATTATATTAAGTGGTGCCTTACTCCGCGAGCAATGATGTTTTATTTCAGTGAGCTTGTGCACTAGATTCTATTTATTGTGAATGAGGATGACCGAATTAGGCGCACAAACACATTTTCCATACAGACTTGGAAGATCTTTTTCACCATATCCCTCCATGTTGGCTTGATGCCTGTAAAAATTCACCTTCGTGTCAAAAATAGGCTTTTCACGTAACTTTTGTTTAGAAACAGATTTTTTTAGTCATGTGATTTAAGAATTTTAAAATATAAATCTGACTTTGTCAATTGAATTGCACAAATGAAATCAGTTTGTGTATTTAACATTTTTGGCAGTTTAAAACCTGCATTTTATTCTGCTTTGCAGTTGACCCTTCAGGCCTATTTTGGGTTATAAGATGAAAATAAGGTTTCCCTTCAAGTGGTTGCCTAGGGCAACTGGCACTGACGCTAAAAGATGAATACTCTACCTACTTAGTATAATGCCTACTTTGTGAGCTAAATAAAGAGCTAAATTGCAGAGCAGGAAGTTGGATAAATGTGAAATATCAAGGGAGCAAAACCCAAGATTATTAAGGACCCAGAATTCAGAAAGGATTATTGTCAATAGATGGATAATAACTGGCTGGCATACAGATTCTAGGCATAATCTGTTGCTAGGCTCTTTGCTGTCTTAGCCCCTCTGTTCAAGACCTGATCCAGTGAGTAGTGCCAATATGTTTTCTCTAGCTGGATACTAAATAAGGCTGTGGAAGTTTGGGGAGAAAAAGAGAACCTTTCCTGCAATAGTTTTTTTAGCTTCTATAGTAGAAATGTGGGTTCAGGTTACAAGCAACTTAGCTTATGTGAGCTTGCAGCTGATAGTCAGCTATCACTGATCGCATCGTTGTGGTCAATTGGAATTATTAGGTTGACTATGAATAGTTTTTATTTTGTTTAAATGACAGAAAAAATTCTGCATTTAAAATTATACCAGATTCAACTGAACATTTCAATGAGTAAAAGAAAACGTGAAAGCAAGCTTGATTCCCTTTCAAAGGAGAAGAGCTAATTTGTGTGGGGAGGGGAGGGAAAGGGGGAATCTTATTTATAGTTCAGTGATAAAATGATTAAATGTGCAGAACTGGATGCCTCTTAATATTGTCATATTTTGTGGGAATGGGATAGGAATCATGAGACAAGCATAATTTAATAAAATGCTGGCATATTTCACATTGGCTTGGAATTTTAATTCTTTTTAGTTAGCCGGAAATAAGCGTTAGTGGACACACTACGTATGCCATATCTACAGTTTGATATGTACATGACCCAAGGGCTGTTTCTTACATGGTGTTGCTATAGAAAATATATCTAGAACTGTAGTGCATTTCTCTGTCAGTGACTCACCACATTTGGCACTCAGCTTTGTTCAGTATTAGGGTGATTCAGAGCCCACTGAAGTCAGTAGGTATATTTCATTGACTTCATTGAGTTTTGAATGGAGCCCATTATGAAGACACAGAAGTTCGGCTTATAACAGCAGTGCTTCCTGCAATAATATCATTCAAAATGGTTATGCAAAATATATTAGAGGGTTGTTCAGGGACATGTTTGCCTGTAACCTTGTATTATCTTACACAGTGTTTATCAAAGTGGTCCGTGGACTCACTCTGTGAAAGTGCTATTGGGTCTCTCCAGTTTGTTTACTTACCAGCTCCGCAGCCAGGAAGCCTCATGGCTCACATTGGCTATGGTTTGCTGTTTGCAGCCAACGATGTGGGTTGTGCTCACCAAAGCCTGTGATATTATTTATATATTTTTGTTAGGTGCTAAGGTGCTACAGAACCATTGTTATGTTTTAAGGTTTTTTTAGTTACAGACCAACACTGTACCTATCCCTCTGAGATTTTTACCCAGAGTTGTGGTGGATTCTCCCACCTTGATAATTTCACAATCAAGATTGGATGTTGTTATTAACAAAAAACCCACCTCTAGTTGAAATGGGAATTAATTTAAGAGAAGACAGGTTGGAGTAGATGATTATAGTGAACCCTTCTGGCCTATCTATGAAAACTGGTACAATATTAAAATGTTCAGTCAATTCATTGGCTCTTTATCATACAGAAAACATATGTAACATTCACACACTAATAAGACCGCCAGCTTGTCAGACATTCCTGTTAGCAAGATGACAACTCAAAGAAAAAGCCATCTGTTGTATGTGAGCAATGGAGTAAAATAATAAATGAAACCTGTTAAAAATGAAAGGCATGTCAGTTACACTCATAAACTCCAACTCTCATGGCAATATGGAAGGGTATCCCTAGATGGCTTATAATTAAAAAAGTCCTGCAAGTTGTTTGCACAAAAAACAAACTATATTTCTCCTGCTATAACACTATGGATGTAATGAACCCAACAGGTTGGGGGGAGAGAGAAAATGTACTTTTTAATTTTCTTCATAGGTCCTTTTGACCTCCAGCCCTGCTGCCAGAGCCCTGCTCATATTAAGAAATAAAGTCTCAGCATGCAGTCCATGCTCTAGTGTATTGTGGTGTTTCATAAAGTTCTTAATATTCTTTTATCTCAGAGAAAAATAACTTTGAAAAACTAGACAGAAGTCAACATGGACAAAAGTCAACATGGTTTCTGTAAAGGGAAAACCTGTTTTACTAATCTGTTAGGGTATGTCTACACTACAATGTTAGTTCGAACTAACGGACGTTAGTTCGAACTAACATTCATAGCCGCTACACTATCGAACTAGCGGAGCGCTTAGTTCGAACTACGAAAACCTCATTTTACGAGGATTAAGCCTAGTTCGAACTTACTAGTTCGAATTAAGGGGTGTGTAGCCCCTTAATTCGAACTAGTGGGAGGCTAGCCCTCCCCAGGTTTCCCTGGTGGCCACTCTGGCCAACACCAGGGAAACTCTATGCCCCCCTCCCGGCCCCGGACTCCTTAAAGGGGCACAGGCTGGCTACGGTGCCCGTGCCAGGTGCAAGCCTGCCAGCACCCA